GGGGACTCTGCAGAAGTACATCTAGTTTATACACCGTCGTATATGATATTACAGTATGTGAAAAATTATTTTTTCAAGCCATTTTTACAGAATACCAATCAACCTGAACTCAATCAGACCAATGAATTTGCTGGAGAGAACGTCGCAGATATTAATAGAAATTAAAAGTCAGATGAAAAAAATAAGTAAAGGAAAGAATGAAAAACCCAGAAAAACGCATCAGTTTCTCCTTCCATTCATAAGTTTAAAAGTTTGCCCCTGACGGAAGATTAGAAATATTTGTTGTTTGCTTTGAGCCTGTTTATTTCATTTTGATGGCTTATTTTTTTAAATGTCTTTGTGATTTCATTTATTAGTTACTTCTCTTATTAAATAACCCTCCAAGTGGCTCAGTGGAAATCAGAACGCGCTTTCGACGCTAAAAATCGAGATTTGATACCCGTCGTGGCCAGAGCACAGATAACCCATTACGTAGCTTTGTGCTTAACTACAAACAAGTAAGCAAAAGCTTAATTTCGAAGAACATTCTAATTACCAATGATTTCATGAAACATTTAAATCACAATTTTCACGTGGAAATTTTCCAGATAAAGAAAATTAATTTTTGTTGTCTTCATTCTCCAAATGTATTCAGTAATTTGCCGAACGACGACCGCTATTTCAAACTCTCTATCTATCTGATAACATATTCATTTAACCTAGCATAAAAGTCAGCAAAAACCCAAATGAAACCTGATAGACTTTTACTTAATATTGGTTTTAACTTCCATGCAACATGTCTTCCTAAGCGCCCCCCAGTGGCACAGCGGTATGTCTGCGGACTTACCACGCTAGAAACCGGGTTTTGATATCAGTGGTAGGCAGAGCATAGATAGCCCATTGTGTAGCTTTGTGCTTAATTCCAAACAAACAAACAATCTTCCATAGTTGAAAATGTTACCAAGCGAATTAATGAAGCAGCTCAGACTTCCACAACTATAATCTAAATACGTGACTCAAATGGCCCAGAAAATAATGGCAATTGGTCGTCAATTTTAAGTGCTTGTATTTTGCCTTATGACTCACATTTTATATTGTGACACACTTTCAAAGAAGTTCTATAAAAATAAAAAAGAACTTACAACTAACTGTTACTTGAAGTTACAATAGGGTTGTAATTAACAATATTTTTTGTGTATGTTTATGGGTAATAATCCCACAAATGTTTTTGTTAATGAAACTCAACATGTTACTTCTAATGGAGTAAAAAGCCTTTGTATGTTTTAAATGACAATAAATGATTTCATGGTTGCTGTAAGCTATTGTAAAATCATAAGAGTCCTAAATTCTATAGCAAACTCCATATGCCTCGGGTGAACGAAAACCATGACATACGAACTGAAGAGAGAAAATCTTTGCCGAATTAATGGAAAAAAATCTACAAATTTAAATTTATTCTGATATTTCTTTTTTATTTTAAAAATACAAAAAAAAATGCAAAATGAATAATCAGACAGAAGCCAGCTACCGGAGAAATCGTATTTCAAGGTTGTTGATTTCCGTGGTACTCGCAGTCATAAGTTTCACTTCTAATTTTTGACTAATAGTCTAATTATTATAGTTTATTCTATATATATATATATATATATAAATCTCAGTATTTCCAATTATTCTATCCAGAGGTAGCGCGTATAACAGGCTTGGGAAGCCTTAGTTTCCTCAAATAAACTTTCCCTCACAGGGCATTATTCTCATCAATTCAAAAGGATTATGCAATATATGCGGAGAGATAGACAGAGAAGTCGAAAAAGGGCATATGATATGTGTGTCAATCAGTCTCAATCAATTTGACTGACTCTTCAGTGCGCTCCCCCCCCCCCCCCCCCACACACACACATACGTGAGAGAATAGCCTGCCCAAACAAAAGCTTTACGTACCACTTCTTCGGATTCTATCCAATTTTATCACAACTATGCAAAGAGTAATAGAATGCGGTCCTTTTTCAAACAGAATCAATCGAACGTACTGATGACATAAAGGAGGGTGTGTGTTAGGGAAATAACAAACTTATGTTGTAAAATAAAAATATACATTTTACTGTGGAATCGATAATACTTCACTTACAGAAGTACATGGTCTTAGAACTGTATTGCCAAACTGCTGAACCATACATCCCATTGTCTCATTGGAGGTTCTACACTTTCAGTTGATATGTAAGCTTTGAGGTAGCTGAAACAGGTTTGTTATGGAATATTTTTCTGCGATGTCGCTTTCAAGTACATCTTCTACTAAGTGTCATCAGTCAGAATGTAACCGGAAGGTAATATTAGTATAAAATAATCTGAGCAGAGCTTTAAAAGAAACATTTTCTAAGAGACTAAACAATAACAACAATATCATAAAATGCCTTTCTCGACTAAATCGACCACATGTTTTAAACGGTATCAAAATGATACATTTTTCATATAACGACATACATATCATGAAAGTTGCATTTTATATACACCTAGATAATTCCTGTAAACTCTTAAGAAAATAATGTAAATATTTCATTTCAGACATTCAGGCCAGAGCTTGGCCTAACATGGCCTGATGGTTAGGGTGCTCGACTCATAATCTAAAGATCATAGGTTCGAAACTCGGTGCCTTTCGGCTATGGGAGCGTTATAATATGGATAATGTAACAGTTATTCTCACTATTCGTTGGTAAAAAATAGCCCAAGAATTGATGGTGGATTCTGCCGATTGGTTGCCTTCCTTTCGGTCAGTAGTTCAAAATTATGGACAGCGGCAAACAGATTTAGTAGCTTCGCTTTGAAAAAGTTTAAACTTTTATAATAACGGTTTGTCTGCGTTGTTTGTGAATATATATATAAATTAAGCGTTTTTTTTCATAATGCGTAAATCGTTGTGTCCATGAATATTTGATCAAAATGTTTCATGCAGGGTAACTATAACGCAGGTCGTGTAAATTATTTTTCCTAATTGCGATATTTTCTTCACGTGCCTGATCTCCCATTCATCATATATTTATCCTTATTATTTAGTAACTGAAAAAGTATGCAAGCCCACAAACTGTATATGAAAAAAAGAACTACACCTATTTCTGTCAGCATTTTTTATAGAATTGCGAAGACAAAAACATCTGTTAACGCTTTATGCATGACCATGAAAGTCGATCATGCTTAAATAAGGCCATGAAACTGTTAGAAAATTTAAAGAAATATAACGATAAAATGGTGGGAAAAAAAACACCCTTGATACATAAGCGCATTCTTTTTCTATTTAAGGTAAGAAAAACTTTTCTCGACAAATCTAATTCTATTTTTAACCAATTTATAAAACATTTAGTGTATACAAACATTAGTCTTCAAGTAAGCTTGTTATGAAAAGTCTGATTTTGGATTTTTCAAAAAATCTTTAGAAAAAGAACCAAAGAACAAGTTTATGTACTCTTTTTATTGTGGTCATCGAATTATTAATTTTTATCTTGTTTGGTAATACTTTCTGCAATATTTTATTCATATGTTTAATCAAGAAAGAGCATCCTTTATGTACAGTCAATCGTAATAGTCTAAACTTAATTTTTCATGTAAAAATATGTTTTATTTTAAGAAATTCGTGTAGTTGTGGTGCAGCCTAGCCTATAAATTCTTCAAATCATTTTCATACATTATGTCATCAGTGTGTTTGTGTGTTATGTAAATTTTCCAAGCATCAATTTGATGAATCATTTAGACATAGAGAAGCCAGAATTATGACTTGTTTGGCAACTGGTGTGAATAGGAGTCAACTGATAACACGAATAAACAATACTAAGAAATAGGACGAACATTTCCCAAACAATATTTCCCGAATGCCAAAGCATTTTCTAAATGATATCATATCCTGTCACTAGCCAGAGTGGTTTAACTGTAAAACCCCTGGATCTGATCTTTCATAAACCTTTGGGCCTAGTTTTTCATCTAATGTTAGTTACTTATTTCTGACTGAACCCATAGTCTCAGAAACAAAGAAATGCCTATCTCTTAGTCAGAGCAAGTAAATAAAGGCTCGTAGGTGAACTCTGACGTAATAATTGTATAGGATGGTTAAAGGAGAAAAATTGTTATTTTTGGATGAACGTTAATAGAACAATATCTACCACTAAAATGGCCTAAATGAGGAAATGACTGTCTCTAGGGTAAAATAGGAAAATAAGACTTGGGAGAGAGCCCCAACTGAACGGTGACTCTCTCTAAGAGGATATAAACAGAAAAATGACTGTATGAATGAGTACTGCCAGAGCAATAGTTGCTTCTGGAATAGTCTCAAAAGGGAAATCAACGTCACAGAAATAAAGACTTAAACAACAGACCTCTTCCAGGAAGATGTGGAACGCAAAATGACCATATCTAATTATTTCTAAAATGATCTAAATAGGGAATAGCTATCTCTTCGGTTAAGCTGAGGATTAAGAATACCCATGCAGTTTTGCTCCATGTGCCCCCATGAAGTCTAGTTACGCCATTGGGTATAGACAGAAATATGACTGGATATATGAATATTAAAAGGAAATAAACCCCCAACAAAATAGTGACATATCTAAGGAAGGTCTAAACAGAAAAATGGCTGTGAATGCTGCTCAGCCTCAATAGAGTAGTAGCAGCCTTTTAGTAGAAGTCTGTGTTAAATAGACTGAACTTTAATGGCAAGTACAGAGCTTGTAATAGGATCTTTATTCAGACTATAAATTAATTATTAAAATTATAGAAGGTTTCCGCAGATAAAACAGGGTACCTGAATTAACTATTTCGTGTATAAATCTGAAATTCAAATCAACGATGTTTTTGTTTAAGTCATATAGAAAAATAATTCGAAGTTTTCAACACTCGGTCGGTTTCCTTTCCAACTGGTACGTAGAGTTTAAAACTTTTCAACGTTACTATGTTTAAACCACCGCTGGAAACTCCCCAAGGAACAGTAGTGAGCACGACCATACAAATCACGTGATCTCCTTGACTTCGTCTCGCGCTTGAAACATACCATTAATGTGGCAGGGCTGTTGTGGTAATTTTCGTTCGGTGTTACGTTCGGTCTGGTTCTAATATTTCTTTGTTATGTTCACTTGGTGACCCAGAAGATTAGAAGACGAATATTTATTTTTGTTATGAAATGAAATTACAGTTTATTCATCAGGTATGTGGCTGTTTAAGATTATGTAGCACAATATATGTTAAACATAAAGTTGAACTACTTAAACTAAAGGAATAAACGTAATGACAGTTTTACAACTCTATACGTTTATAGATTATACTGTATAGTTACACTGAAGTTACGGTGTTTGCTTGAGTATTATATTATTTATACCAGTGACCCTAAACGTAATATATAATTAACAGTTAGCAATTAGTATTAATTAACATTGGTCTTACGAAGTTTTTTCTATCTCTCTCGTCTATAGAGTATTGTCATATCAGTGTTATAAGTTCCCTATTATTATTAGTGAACGACTTAATATAATTTTGTGAATAATATCAGTATGATTCATGGTGTGGATCTTTTCCGTTCAGTGCCCACCCTACATCCCGAACGTGGAAGGTTATTTTAATCGGAATGAACTGTAAATCACAGTGAAAATTTTGTAGATCCAGAAACATTTGGACATTTTTCTTAAGATTTTTTTGTTTTATTTCAACAAAGGGAATAGGCCAATAACACTTCAACTTTGTCAGCGCGAACGACTAAAAGTAAAACATTCAGCGTAACATTCACTCATAATTAAACTAACTATCAATTGCTTGAAATTGAGTTATAGTGTGAAATCAAGGTTTGGACTTATATTAGTATAGAATAATAAAATGCCATTTCCACAATATAGTTAGATAAAAAAACACATAAAAACAAATTTTCATGATAAACTTTATAAAGTGTTTGTGTTAACAAATGAATGTTTTAACTTCTGCAGCCTGTAGATATTAACGTAGATGTGCCAGATCTGATGACCTATTTTGTTTCTGTTGAGGTTTTTACTTTGCATGCACCTGGACAGAGTATATAAATTCAAAAGATACTCTCGGGGACCCAGAGCTTCATGTCTTCAGATGTTATTTATTTTGATAAATACCTGCACTCTTTATAACTAGTTATCTCAGGAAGAGGCTTGCGTGTGAAATAAGAACATTAAAGAAAGAATATGTCAGACCGTGTAAGTGACAACATTTAGGTTAACGTGGGATTGCACAATACCGGTTTATTTCTTTTATATTAATTACCGGTTTGACGAATATGGCTCTCGCTTACTTCCACTTTTTGTTACCATGTTTTAAGTTGACTATTCTATTATTTCTGATATGCCCAAATAGTAATTTTAATCACATTCCGAATTTTCTGGACACACACACAAAGATGGGTTCATAGAGTACAAATACATGCTAAGCACGGAGTGTTATACCCAATAATATAGAGAAACGCTGTAAGTAATTTATCATACTGTTACGTATCTGGTC